ACACGTTTTCGGTGATGTCTACGATGTCATTGCCCTCCAAATTTACCTGGTCAAGGATTTGAGATGATCGTGCCCATCGGTCTGCTGCATGCTCGCAGTTGCAAGCGAATGATGCCAGGCATCCAAGCATGTTCATGCTTTATGTTTGCTGTCTTCTGCCCATTATTGCTGCATGAAGATCATGAAGCTGATTTGGCGCCGGTGGGCCTTGCCACTGAAAGGCGCCTTGGGTGCCAGCTGCGCGGCTAAAGTCAGACCACCACCTTGTTGGCGCCACATGCAGTATCAGCTGTGCGACTCTACGCCTTCACGGCTTGCCTGCTAGGGCCTAGGGCCCAAGCGCATCTCTTGCATGCTGAGCCCGTAGAAATTGACGCGTTGCAAAGCCTCGACGACCACGGGCGGGGCTTTGCTCGAAGTAGAGGCGATGTCCAAACCTTGAAAAGCAGAGACGGCCACATGAACTTCGCATGCAGCTCACTTCTCTTGGGTCTGTGCCAAGGGGTCCGAACGGCAGCGCATTCCTGAGCTGGACACCGATGCCCACAACGACGCGGAATGAATGCTAAGCACATCGTGGAATCAATCACCTGGCAATATCTAGCTTTGTAGGACAACTTGTGCTTATTTCGTGTGCATGACTACGGCTGCTGTCCATGAAAGCTGCAATGGGCACGTGTAGTCCTTTATGATGAATTCATAAGCAGCCGGAATCCACCAGCTGTTGTAGATTGCAGGTTGCACTACTCTAGAAACACTGCACTACCCACTATCACATAGGAAACCAGTTCAAGTTGGTCTCAACTGCATCACCTGCCCTGGGTTTGCAAACTCAATGTCATTATCATTCTTTTCCGGGAGCACAAACCTACCCAGCACGTCCTTGTGGCACCGCAAACATCACAGGGCGGGAGGCACTGCAGGTCTTGCCTCAGTGCCCTCGACCTGGATGCCACAGTGCCACACTGCAGCGACTGCGACGGGCGCTCACGAATCGCCAAAGGTTCGGCTGAGGACATTGAAACAGTCCAGTTTTGTCGCATCGTAAGCATTGGCGAGGCTTGGCAGTGGTTCTGTGCATCATGGCGTTGACGTTTCATTCTGTGTGAATGCATCTCGCCCATACACATGTCCATGCTGTAACTACTTCCCAGTAGCGACACATCCTGGCGAATGACATAAAGTGGCTGATCACACGGTTCACAGGTGAAGACACATTCTCCATGGATTATCAAATCATCAGCACTTTGTGACAATCGAAGTACCTGCAGCAGCTGCTCACGCAGCTCCTCATGCAATAGCAAGGCTTGACTTGCAAGCAATCTTGCAGCGACCTGAATCTCTTGGCCACAAGTTTGAGCGGAGGTCCTCCTGTATACTCGGAACTAAATGTTTCCGTGGAAGAACTAGCAAAGCCCTCAACGGCAGAACCCTTGTCAAACGTGCTCTTCGCAGCCGGGGCTCATGAACACCATGCTTGGTCTGATAGACAATGTCTTGATTTTCTGGCCATTTCCGGAGCCTCCGCACAGGTCTATGCAGGAGGGCCTCTCTCACAAAACGTAAGTCAGAAGCATTGCAAAGAAGCCGGGCCTATGTCTTCGCTGCCCTGCACCACCAAGAAGTGTAGCGGTACAGGACCGGCGTGAGGGTATCCACTTTTTGATGACCCAACCCCTGCAAGCACATCACTCACATCCGAGAAAAGCGCGGATCTCAATGCTAGATGGCAAATTTCAGTAGCTGTACGTCCGCATTACAATTTTCGTTAAACCTGCAAAACGAATACAGTTGGCAAGGTCGTGAGTTGCTGTTTGGAGCGAAGCAGGACAAGGCTGTTTACATTTCTGGAACTACCCCTGGTGTGGCGGTAGTGGTACTAGCGCTAGGATGGAAAACACTAGATTCACAAGCCTTGAAACAATCCACTCAAAATATCACACTGCTACTCTTGCTGCCGTTGCGAAGCCAACGTAATGCGAAACGCTCACTGAAGTTTCACTACTAGAATAAGTACGGAGTTCTAGTCATGCGGTGGTGGAGTATCCAATACGCAACGGCAACAAAATAGTAGAATGCAAGCAGCAGGAAAAGCAACAAACACAAGACCAACAGCAGCCCCTGCAAAAAAAAAACGTGCAATACACATACAGAGGAGGTCTAATATTGAAATATTGTAACGCTAGGGGCAATCACCTTGAAAGCGGTAGCATCCTGCAACACCAGCCACCAAGAAATCACACGAACAGCACTGTAGAGGACTGAATAAGGAATAAGGTGCCCTTGCGTGGAATAGCAGGTCTTGTGCGAGTTCATTCGTAAACGAATGCATGCCTGAGCAAGCGACAACAGCTGCTGCAAAAGGCATGAGTACGCTGATCATGACGAAGATGATGGTGATTACCGAAGCCAAAAATGAACATCAAACGACTTTAATACTAAAGCAGCACCAACACCGAGAAGAACAACGAACAAACAGCGCGACACTGACGTTATTCTGATGAATATTCGTCGTAGCAGCAGCATAGTTGCCGTCAGTGGTGTTGCACAACCCCAAGCCCCCAAAACGCTAGACCTTACAACCCTAAAGCCGTGCCCACGAGGCCTTCTTCAACCGGAACTGTGGCACAGGGCCTGCAGAAAACTCTGAAGAAAACTCAGAAGCAACGCTTTGAGAAAGGGGCTCCTACAAGGGTTCTCCTGCATGTAATCCTTTAAACACCCCAAACAAAAATCCTGAACCCAAGCCCCGGCCTAGCTTGCAGGAGAGGCCCTCCACGGTCTTCCGGCCCACGGAGCTCGGTTGACTGAAATCCACGTCGGGGAGGCCCCAAGCTGCCGGCCGTAGGCCTCGTCCGAAGCATGATCACGCAAATAAAGATGAAGAAGGGTAGACCGGGTAGAAAATGTATGTGTATATATGTGTATATATATATATGCAAAAAATACACAAGTATATATCTATATATATATATATACACACACATATTTGCTTATTTACACAAATAATGTATGATGATGATGATGATGATGATAGCAATCAGAACAGGAATAATAACCAATTGCAAACGTTAGTACGAATAACACCAAGAAAATCATGATAATGATGGTAATGTAGTAATCAAAATAGAAATGATATTGATACAGATTAGTACTGGTAATTAGTATAAGGGCCGTATGAGTTAGAATAGAGTTCCATAAGCGTTTGTATGCGGATTTTTAAGGTTCATCACAGGGGCTTAAATAGAATGGTGTTTGAGAGTAAGCATGGTAGAGTATGATTGGAATAGAAACTACAGGACGATAATACAAAGCGATGTGGGATATGACAACTATTTGTTCCGGTCATTTTTGTATGTGCTCTGTTGGTTGCCAAGCGCAATCTTTCCCTGGTTAAGTATGGGAATTTCGGAAGACACGGAACCCGGAATGCCCTAGACAAACTTATAGTGGGGCCAAATCTGAGAGACCCCGTGTCGAGCAGACGAGTTGCTGATGATGGTCGTGTCGACGCTTTTTCCGTCCTGTGCCGTGGCTGCCGCGGGCACCGCGCAGACACTGTTCGGAGGAAGGCAAACCCACCTCAACACTGCAGACTTGCAGGCTACAAACAGTGGCGGGTGTCTGTTGAAACAACATCGAATACTTGAAGCGAAATACCAGTGAGAATTCAAAAGGGCGTCAAAAACGGCGAGTCTGGAAAATGAGGAAGGTGCAGTGCCATATCATACGTAATGTGCTGACAGTAGAGGCCTGGAACAGGCTACATGTAGGAACTCCTTCAGCCAAAGAGGCTCATTGTCAGGGCTCTTGTAGCTCGCGGCTTGGGGCTCTGCAGCTGCTGGCTCACACCTGCGTAATGGGAGGAGGCAAGCTCGTCAAAAGGCAACTCACATGTAATGGGCTCTCCATTCATATTCAGACGAGCAGCTCAGACTTCAGTCCCAGCAGTGATGCGTTGCAGATCGCGGAGTCCAAATGCTTGATGACCTTCAGCTCCAGGCTACGTGCAGAGCTGGATGCTTGGATGCGGTTCTTGAGCGGCTGCAGATGGTAAGAGTTGCTGTCCTCCTGTTCATCCTAACTAGCCTCATGGAGGGCCTGCTTCCCCACTGGCCAACGGACACTACCCTGCGATCTTTGATGGATGATCTAGGATACCTTCCGTCTTCGGCATGCCCATCATGTGAGTGGCAAGACCAGTCAACACTCTCCTGACTGTTGATTCAATGAAGCCTGCTGAAACCCTTTGTGCAACCTTCCACGGTGCGGCAAAGCCACCGTCGCTCGGGCTTCTTCGTGAAAGCGGACAGCCAGCATCAGGTCCTCAGCCACAAAGCAGCACATCTGTGACAAAACCTTGCTGAAGATTGGCTGAAGGTATCTGGATCCCAGGGAGCCACTGTTTCGTTGTGGAGTCGTAGAGTGGGTGCCAGCAACAGAAGCCGGTGATCCGGCTGAGGTGTCAAGAGCTGGGCCACGACACGTCCTGGCGGCGCCGGAGGTTCTGGAGACAAAGCTACAAAATCAATCACACAAACCAATGCAAAAACAAGAGACATACTGTAGTATATTGTAATATGATTTAAAATCTATGTTGTAAACTATGCTGTACCAGAATATCGAGGGGCCCACGCAGTCTGGTACGACCACAGCCGCATTCTGTTCGAACCACAGCGGCTCTGAGAGCTTCTCGGAGCCAAGGCGCCGCACCCTCAAGCTTCGCCTCACTTGCTCAAACGCTCACTTGCTCACGTACCTGCTTGCCGGCCTACCTACCTACTTGCATACTTAGTGGCATATACATATTATATATATATATATACATATACACTTCTGTATATGTATGTATATATGTACGTATATATAGAGTACTCATATACTCTGTATATACAACAGAACAAATAATGAAGAGTATCTGGCATAAAGCAAAACATCTAACACATAAAATCTTACATCTTACATAGAACATATCTTAAATAGTACCTACCATACAACAATTCATGAAGCACGTCTAACATCGTGCAAATATAACAGAGTAAGAACCAAATACAATATGAAAACATCAACTGTTTCAAATTGGTATGTAAATAAAAATGGGCTAATATGCATGTATATATTTACGTGTATATATATATATACACACTACCTATATACATGTATCGATTTATATTATACACACGCACATGTTGGTGATTGTCATCTCTCTTGTGTCTGGTAAGCAGCCTGAATTCTATTAAAGATCTGTTGGCGGGTTGCAGCGTGAGTGCACTGATCTTGTCGTCCAAGGCTACCCACTGGGAGCCAGTTGGTTGGATTACCACTTTGGCTTCTGCATTTCCTGAGATGCTCATGGACCACAGGACAGCATGTCTTCGCAGAGCTACAAACAGTGATGCTGCCATCGCCATTCCGTGAGACTGATGATATACTGATAGATGTGCCGCGCCAACAATGGCCACCATTGACCATGATTTGCAGACATATACGGCCAGCAGTATCGAGTACCCACTTGAGTCCCAGGCTCGTGCGCCAATGCACAGGACCTCCAGCTGCCCGCCCCACAAGCTCACCACGCGAAGCTTTTGTGAATCCGAATCTTTCCCTGACGAGCTCTCATCAGGCCTCAGTGCTGAAACACAAAACAGCGCTGGTGTAGGGACGGTTTCTGACAACGAAAGGCCAAAGGCCATTCCGAGGCTGTTCGGAGGGATGGCCCTGGGATGTCCTTCGAAAGCTTGCTGCGGGCTGAGCTTTTGCTCTCTGTCTGCTGAGCAAGAGTTTGCCTGATCCACTCGCAGCCTACCAACATACATACGTACATTCTGTCAGGGAGCTTCTTCTCTGCTTCGGCCGATGATTGCGGAGGCCTTCGCATCACAGAAATCTTTCAAACGCCGCATGACGTGACAAGACGACAGACATGCTCCGACCTGAGGCTCGTCAGCAGCAACGGAAGCAATTCCAGGATTTGCCGCGTCGGCTTCGGGACGAGATTCAAGTGGAGAGGCCCGAGCGCGTGCCTGGGATTGCAGACCATGAAGCACCCGGCACTCAAGAGACCTAGTCCCGAGTAGAAGGCCATTGCTGAACAAGCACGGAGGCGGATTCAACAAAGCAGGAGGTCCAAGGAAGCTTCTAAGCCCAGCCACAGGGAGATGCGCATAGTCTCCGACATCACCACGGACACACCGAAATCGAAGCGCTCCAAAAAGGGTTCCCAATCGCCATGCCTCAAAGACAACGCATTCGTCAGGAGCATCAAGAGAAGCCGAATCCCGGGCACCCGACCGTGTATTCAACACATCGATGCTGAGGCTGGACTCCATGAGCTTGACATCCACCTTTCCACTCTCAACCTCGGCGTAAAGATGATGCGATGCCTTCTGCTTGTAAATGAAGACAACGGATGCTTGGGGAGGGTGTGCCTGCACACAAGTCGCATGGGCATTGGAAATTGAGCTATGATTCCGGAAAGGCTCCGCAAAGCAAAGGCGGTCAAAGACGGCTGGAAGAAAGAATCACACAGTTCGGAGGAGTGGCTTCAAAGTGACTTAGACACCTCCCCCTCTCCACTGATGCCCTACTGAATACGGCCCACTCATGGTCCCTCAAGACCCGACATCCGAAAGCTCTTTCAAGGCCTTACCATGCTGCCAAGTAGCACTGACCTGCAGGCCGGGAGGCATGGCCTCCATTTTCAGGCGCATGAGCGGCATGATGGAGTCGCTGAGGGAGAATGTCGCATCATCGAAGGCCAGTGACACCTCGGCTGAGTGCCCCGGGCCGGCAACGAGGCGCAAATGCTGCGATGCCTCAGGATGACTTAACAAGTCAAGTCACGCTGGTCCGCATGGGCTTCTTCTGCAGCTCCTCGGCCCTGCTCGGGGGAGGGAATACGGAAAGCACTTGCCGGAGATTCTGAGGGAATCAGGGTGACAGTGGAGGATCGTTTCGCCCTTTGAGGTCTCTCCGGGGAGCTCACGGGAACTAAACTAAGCGCTGTTATGATATGTACCGCTGGCAGCTTCATGCGGCCATGTACTGGAGGGCGTCAAACGAAAGACTGCACAGCTAGCCCTTGAGGAATCGCCGCGCCTTTTGAAAGCGACGAAGTCTTCACCAAGCACTTCTGTCGCGCTGAAACCGACAGCACTGCCTGCAGCACTCACCCTTCAATTCTGCGTCTTGCTTGCAGTTCATGTCTCAAAAAAGCACCCAGGACTCGCAAAATTACCGTGCCATATCTGTGTGCCGGTCTTTCCGGCCTGAGACGAGGCTGTTTCGCACAGTCATGGAGCTACGGACGGCCTGCTCGCTTCAGCTCTTTCTGCACCGGGACAGGCTCAGCGGCCTTCGGCATTCAGTTTAACAGCTCTTGCTGCGAGGTCTACCTCCTGGCCTCAATTGTGCGCTCTTGTCTTTCTAGGTGCTCTCCTCTCTTGCTTCCCATCGTGCATGTAGATGTAACGGCTATTCCAACCGCCCACCTCACCGGGATCCGTACCACTGAGAGGCTTCAATGCGACTCGCAGGGGTGTTTCCGCCTCTTCCCTCGCTCTCTTTCTCTAGGCCAAGAGGATCAGTTCTTTATAGTGCAAAAGCGTAGCTCTCTGTCGGAGTCAAGGCCAGGTCATTGTAGGCGAGTATTGGTCTCTCGCTCGCTCGGCTTCATGGGCTTCTCACTACCTCTGTCATTTGATGGGTCGTGCTTCTGGTCGCCTCTGCCGAACCGTTGTTTTGCGTTGACATCTGTAGCAAAGAATGCGCAGTGATGTTAGAAGAAATGATGGCAAGTTGGCGGTGTTCTTGTTCTAGTCCAGTGTCATGTTCTAAAATTGTTCCCCTTGCTGGCACATCTGACTTCCCATCTGATTGGTTGCTGCTGTGCATCAGCAATCCAGAGCAAGCATGCCTGGCCCTTTCAGCAGCATCTGCGGGCAAGAGGTGTTGCAGCAGTTCGAAAGGCAGTCCGACGAAACCGGCCGGCTACTCAATCATCAAGGCGTTTGCTGCGAAATTTACTACTCTGAGCAGTATCAGCAATCCCGCGATTCCTTCTCCAGAGCTGCGGGCTTCTTTTGCCGGACTGTTATTGGCACCGTCCTTGCGATGAGCGCTTCCACAAGAACAGCTTACACTCTTGAACTGCACTCTCGCCTCTTTCGTGCCGCTGCTCATAGTTGCTGCCAAGAGTCAGCATGTCCACTACTGCTTGCGGGAGCCCCATCAGGAGGTTCACAGAATTTGGCGAGGCCGACAAGCTCAGGTGTCCAATCTGCAAGCAGAGAGGCTGACTGACGCTGCATCACGGTGTCTCGCGTGGGCAGCGTTTGGAGCAGCTTGCTGTGTATATTAATGTGTGTGTGTGTGCTTTGAAGTATACTCCGACGGCGTCTCCAAGGCATCGAAGCGATCTTGCAACCTTGTGCGCACTGCTTGTGCCTTGATGGCGACGACAATGGAAACATCCTTGGGCGTCTCTGCATACCTTTGGAGGGCTCTCTGACACAGACTCTGCTCTGGAATGTTCTGAAGCCTTCATGCATCATGCGCTGTCTCCTGGAATATCCCGGTCGAGCTGCTTGAGCGAAATGGTGATCGGAAGCGGTTCCACCACGTCCTGAGAAGCTCTTGAGATAATTGCCGCTCGACTCACTGGACTTGGACAGATTGGTGCCTCAGACCAGCTGCATTCGAGAATCAAACACATCACCGATGGCAAACACCGTGGAGACCTGGGTGTTCTTGAGCTGCAGCTCAAACTGCAAGCCTCGGAAACAGGTGCAATCGCTGGATCGAACCATCTTGTGGCATGTTCTCGCGAGCGCTGCCCAAGCCTCGCGCGTTGCAAACACTCCCATTCCCTAAGCAGCTCCTCTTGTCACCACAAGCCGTTCCCACAAAGCAGTGTCATCCGAACATAAGTTCTTCCTGCCCGGTGGCACGCACGGCTTCTCCCGACTCGGAGCCAAGCAGCACTCGAAGAGGCACGGCTCTGGAGTCTCCAGGGTAAGCTGGCCCAAAGTGATAACAGCCTATAGCAGTTGGAGGCACCGAGAGGTCGCAAGGACACGAGAAATCTGAGAACATCTCTGTGCTGCCTTGCCCACGCTGGCGACCGGGACGTGCACCGTGGGAGCCGAGAGGTTGATGGCCAGACCTTAAGTAGCTCCCGCCGACGCCAAGCTTGCAGTTCTGAGGCCGGGTAACTTTGAGTCCGGCAGTCAAAGATTGGAAACACCTACCAGGCATACCTGAAACCTTTCTGTCATCTTGGAAAGCGTAATGGATGCGATTGGCGACCAGAGCCTGCTGCCCAGCGCCGATTCAACTTGCTTTTGTTGGTAGCGAAGGCGGTGTGAAACTCTAGTTTCAACAGCTGCATGCGTGATACGCATGCAGAACGGATTGGATTAACAGCTGCTACTCTGGCGGCTTAATCGTGCCTAAACCAGCCTAACCCCAACTTCCGGCCGTACACTCCAACCTAGCTTGACGGCCGCATGGAACAAGCGACTAAGCTCTGCTACCATCTAAATTCTTATGAAAAATGGGTTGCTGCAAGTTAAGCCAAATTCATATAGCGACGGCTGTTATGAATACGACGAGCAGCTGATCCTGTCCGGGATGCGGTTGTACACCTGCCCACGGATGCTTGCAGCGATCTGCAGACACTGCAATACTGTTCTGGATATGAAAACTGCTGGCAATCCCGCGATCTGGCTTCGGACCTGGCTTGTCACTTGCTAGCACTCATGATTACGGGATTTTGCATGAAGCTGTGCCCACATTAGCATTGTGGCTTGTCCACGTGTCCGTCATCACCCATGCATATACATAAAAATGACAGACGCTAGTAGACACCCCTTCAATCCCCTCCGAGAGCCTCTTGGGCAAGCTCCTTGGCCCTGTCCGCATTGGCATCCAGCACACTCCTCAGTCGGCGGCGGCATTTGTCGGGACAGTTGGGAAGCAGAGCATTAGGGGTTGTGGTGCGGCTTGTGGTTTCAGAGTTCCGGATGTTGAGCTTGGAGTATCCCTGCTTGGTCAGTCTGCCATTTTTTGATCCTTCGGTTGTCTGCGAAGGTTGGGGTTGGAAACAATGACCCGTCGCACGGCTTGCATCCTCCCGCGCTGCAGTATATAATTCTTGAAGCCCACGACACGTGGTAAAGACAGGGATCCTGAAGTTTCTGGAATCCCCATTGTAACGTCATCAAACACAGAATCAACTTGTAATCCCACATCACACTTGACGTGTCGGTCAAGCCGTAAGCGAGTCGCTTGAGGCGCTCAGCCCGTGTGGCCTTCGTTTCCTTCTCTTCCACGAATGCCTCCGCGGAAAGGTGGTTGTGATTGAACTCGCATATCTGGTATGTATGGATATGTATGGCACACGTGGAATATGTATATGTATGAGTAGGACAGGTTCTGTATGATGTGCGCACATACACATCGTGCGTGTATATATATATATGCTTACATACTTATATTCTGGCATTTACAGTATACGTAATAGATGGCATACGAACATCCGTGCCTCAATCGTCTTCATGACGACCGGGGCACAAACACCTGCCGCCTCTTCGACCTGATCCAGAAGGGGGTGGCTTTGTACTGTGGCCTAGGGGCACAGTAGAGGGGCATTTGAATAACTGCTTTAGAAGAGGGGCTTTAGAAGGGTTTCGGGTTCAGGGGTCAGTTTATGGTGAAGGGATGTGTAGGTGTGCCTCGGCAGCATCCGGATAGAAGCCCAGAATCGAAGCCACCAGGCCGGGGATCATGAAAATCTCCAGCGGGGCAAAGGTGAGACTCCTGAGAGCCAGATGGCAAGCATCATGTCTGGGAAAGGATCCCAACATATCCCAACACCAAGACTTGAGGTCCCGACACTTCCAAGAGATTCTGTGTGGGCTCCAGCTTGTTTTCCAGTCGGAGATCCAGAGCTTGCTGCATGATCTCGTCACTCGAGCCCACCTGCGCAAGCAATCTTCGCCCCTTTCGCGAGCGCGCATCTGTGCTCGGTCTTGTCATCATTCTGCTGGAAATTTCATGGTTCAGGCTCAAGAAGAGCAACACGTGGTTGATGATGGCTTCGTGAGACACCGTTGGATCCGACATTTCAGCGTGCTCTACACCTTAGGCCTGAAACACCGCAAAGCTGCAAGACATCCTGAACCCTACGACTTGCTCGTCAACTGTGCGAGTCGGCTGTTCCACACAATTCTCCCTTTGCGGGATCTTCACGCAGATGCCGGAGATTCGTAATGCACCCAAGCGAATCCTTCACCACGGCTACTTCCGACGAACTAACTCCCCAAAGTAATTCTTCGCGTGCTCCCCGATGCCGCCTGCTTCGGCCGGAAGAAGGACTTCTGCTGGTGCGACACATTCACCTCGTGGATCCGTGCTTCGGTTCTTTACTCGAAAGGGAGGCTGCAGGAACTTTCACACCACGTGGCCGAACCCAGGGCCAGGAAGAGGCTGAAGGCTGCCGAGTTCTGCCCCTTGTGGTCCGTGGCTGACTCGACCTCCAAGGTACTGCACGTCAGGGGAATGTGTCAGACTTGCATCTCAGCATTTCTGGCACGCACAAAATAGAGACTGGCCATCCTTCCGACTTGGTCTACGACATTCACCGCCAGGGACGTCGTGCTCAGGTCCAGCGAAAGAAGTTGCATCACTTCAACTGCAGTATCGTCTTGGATGTCCATCAGGACCTTATCAGGTTGCAGTCGCATAGACCCAGTGCACCTTCCAGTGCCTAGTTTGCGCGGTATGCAGCCACACCACAGCTGTTCTTGCCGGGTAGGTCCGATGGTTCGTTGCAGCTTAGGAGCTCCTCCACCACATAACTGCACGACCAACTTCTGCGGAGGCTCCACCACCTCGACCGGATAACGGCTTCTTCCAACGTTTACTCTGCTCAACGTCGTACAAGTGTCCCGACTGCTCTCCACTTAAACTAGACAGTAAAGCCAGAGGCTTTTTGGTCGGTTACTCGGGCTGTAGGGCATTGGTTGGACGATTTTCAAGGGCGTGCTGCCTGGCCTCTACATCTGCAGCACTCTGCAACTCGGTGAGTAGATCCTCCACGCTGAGCTTGTCCAGGGATGACTCCTCTGGCTCCTGCAGATAGCTTTCTGCTTAGATGCTTGGATCTCTGCACCAGCAAACCAGGCTGCCCTCGGAGTCGTTTCTATCGCATTAAGCACTGTGGGCCGAAAGGACGAACCACACCATCAGCTAGCTCTGCTCTTCAGCAATCTGGCTCCCACCTTGTGCCCAAAGAAGGTCCGGCTGAACCACCCGCCGGACTTCTTCTCCTGGTCGGTGCTCCGAGAAATGACCGTTATGCTTCAAGCCTTTCGACATCGCACCCGACGAAAACGAGCCGATGCTGAGCATGCTTACCACCTCCCTAGAGCATCTGCTGCCAGAACCTCCCGTGGCCTGCGGCTTGGCCTTTTTCACCAGTTCCGTAATGAAGTCTTCCGCTCTGCATCTGGCCTCGTCTCAGAGACAGACCACCATGTGCCCTAATCCAGCCCCAAGCCCTAAATTCTCTCATACATTGCAATAATAATCACACTAAGAATAGCATAATACTGATTATCATACTACTCAAAAATTGTATTACTACACATACTAATATTAATAGTACTGGTAACAACATCGAATAACCTCGACAGTGGCAGCTTTGAACATTCGAAGCTTCAGGAGATCACGAGGCTTGACCCGCAGTATGGCGGCGAAGACGATGGACTTTCAAACTACCGATCATTAATTAACGTATTTTGAGCCTAAGTGCCGCATACCCATCTCCAATTGTTCTACGTTAAGTCGAGCCGATCAGGCACCTCTGAATCCGCATTGTGCCGTTAGACTTGCTGACGTAATACTCTCGCTGATCAAAACATGGACAAAGGCCCTTCGCTGGCCGAAGTACCGAAGCCAGAAGCTGCACAGGAAGAACCGTCTCCAGGGTCTCCAGCTCCTGAGAGCAAGGTCCCCGGTTACAAGCTGGTGAAGGCTTGCAAGGGGTTCTTCATGACACTCCTGTGCATAAACCAGCGCAGATCTGCAGTCCTCCTGCTCTGGCTGTTCAAGCTGGCTGCAGTTAAGTCCAGTTTGATAAAGAGCGGCGACCACCTTCTCCTCCCAAGTCCACAAACCGTCAGTTTGCAAAGCTCCACTGCATGTCATGGCAATGCAAAGGCACTAGCTTAGTCACACGAGAGACACAAACAAGCACAGAAAGAGGGTTCGACACTCCACGTTCCAGGTCCAGGTCTCTGAAACCAGCATGCCTACCACACTGTCAACCAGGCACAGAAGCGCCTCTGTGACATCCACATTGGCAAGGCACTGCTGGCGGAAGAGCTTGAAGTATTTGTCCTGAAGTGAATCCAGGGGCGCACGCCACAGTATGTTTTCATGAAAGGATGGAGGATGTCTCCCGGTTCTATAGACAAACCGGGTACCGGCTAGCATCGGCGAATGAGAAAGCAGCCGAAGGCCTCGGAGTCATCGAGGCGCGCTTTGAGCCGCTCCTCTTCCTGAAAGAGTTGCTCTGCCGGTTTTTTACGTCGATGCCTTGCTAGAGTGAACCACTTGGAAGGGTGCAAGTGCAGGTGTGCCTTCGGATCGACGAGAAGTTTACGCAGCTGCTCCCACTTTTTGCTCAGCGCTGTCTTCAGGGCAAGCACACCTGCGCGACAACTGGAAACACCGAATCTGTCTTGCTCGTTGGCATGCTACGTCATGTGCTTGCAGCTTGCGTTGCCTGGCCTATGAGCTGCGAGCGCTTGGTATGGATCTCGGTCGGCTTATCTGTACCGAGATCAACTTCCAATCGCAGCAGTCCATCATCCGGGACGTGGCCCAACTGCGAAGAAGACAGGGAGAAGCGAGAGCCGTAGGGGCTGGATGGTGATCAGAGCTGCTATTGTCGCTTTGGTTAAGAATCACTTTCGGACATGGTCTCAGACCTGTGCGCTTGCAGCAGAAGGTAGGTCGACTTTTTCTCGTGAAAATATCCATTCCCCCCGTTTCAAAGTTGCACCCCATGGCCTTCAACTCCGCCCGGACTGGGCTCACAAGGTTTGCCAGGGCCTGTGGCGAGGTGTCAGAGGAGGACGCAATCCCCAATCATGCGTCCGTGTCGGCTAATTTCAAAGAGGCCTGACATTGTCCCTTACGAAGAGCCTAGAATCTCGACTGTAGACATTCGACAATCAAGGCTTCCGATCATGTGCCTTCTCATCTCAGTGGGAGACGGAACAGATCGGTCTGTGATCACCAAGGTATGATCGCCAAAACAAGGTACACACTGTGTTTAGTGGTAGTTGAGAGAGGCGCTGCATCTGACTGTACAAGTAAGCGGCCCTAACCTTATGTAGAAAGTAGAACCCTCTGTGCTGTTCTGGGACATGGCACTTAGATCGGTTCACGGGATTGGGGTTTAGGACTCAGACAAGGATATTGGGGGGAGACAAGTCGAAGAGCTTGCTTGGCTACTTTTCAGATGGTCGATCAGGTTGCCAATCAATGGTGGGAACTCGGTGGGCTCAGGTGGGCTATGATAGAACAGCGAGAGGAGAAGAATGGTGAACACATGCGAAAAGGAACGTTACTATGCTTGTTGAACAGGGTTATGCTGAAGAGCTCTTGGAAGCTCGCGAGGTGACAACTGGCAGGCTAGCTGACAACATGAAAACCAGGCCTGAACAGCTGGAGCATTCAGCATGAAACTGACGCCGTGCTCGTTTAGGATTTTGATTTAGCAGATTTGGGGCATGGGGTCTGTGTACGCGTGGCGTTCTATCACGAGGATTGGCACTCGTTGCCAAAATAGCAGAGCGGGGGAAGATCATGGAAGTAAGGTTTTGGGGTCTATTATACCGTAGTAGTTCTCGTGTACCCCGAAACCACTTAGGGCATATTATGCTGTTTTCCTACAAACTTACAATGGTACCTGGGAACGATCAATTCACC